TCGGTGGTAAATGACCTCTTTTATGCGTACGTTGCAGTTTTATGCGTACGTTGCAGTTTTCTGGTCATCTAATTATGGTTTCATTATAACCTAAACACACTATACCAAGTACCAATTATATATTATATTTGTACTAAATTCGGTTTTGGCTTGAAGATGAAACAATTGATTGTTTATATTTTTAAGAGCACATTTTAATAAATAGAATATAAGATTTTAATTGATTTTTTTGTTTTCTTAAATATATAATCCATAAGAGCCTATAATATGTAAAATGTAAAATAGAAATTAATATATATTGTTTTACTTGCACGTTGCACGAAGAAAATTTCTTGTTCTATCTACTTCTATTCCCCATGTAATAAAATAAATGATATGTACTCATTTCAGAACAATATTTATTGGATTCCACATATTGTTTGTTAATGACAATATAAAAACTGCAGTAAACTAAAATATAACTGGAATCCCGGTATCCAGATTTTAGTATAATTCTCACTCAACTTGTTCTGTCAATAAAACAATTTTCATTAACTTCCAAAGATTATCATTTTCACGATGTGAGCCATATGTGAGCTAAGTATAAAATGAAAGGTCTAAAGGTCAAATTATTCCCAAGGTATGGTATTGTTTTTTATTTTACTTTTGGTTAATTATTCAAAGAAAATTACTATAAGTTTTGTTTTCCCTATCACTAAAACTTATTGTTAAACACTTACTTTGTTTTATCACTAGTCAACATTGAACTTATAGTTTCATTATAATTTTTTAGTGCTCAACTGCTCCATACCTTTGCTCAACCCCTACCTATTGGCTACATTGAGCATTACTTGACTTTCTGCATTAAAACAGCTGTAGCTCTTATCTTTTACTCATTACAGAAAGATACTATTGACACATTTGTTAAGCAATAAACAACAAATTTATCATGCCGCATAACTATTTGAGACTTATTATTGAGGAGTTTAAGTAAAAAATTGCTCAATTGGCTCCGCCCTACCCTAATTATAAAGAAACGGCTTGGGACTATCGCGAAAAACTGATAAACTTGAGTCCTTATCGAGTTAATAATAATAAATGGTAGTCTGCCCGATGGCAGGTCCATGATGTGAGAGCCACCACAATTAAATGATTCCTTACCCTTCATCTCATTACTGCTATTCCCCCTCCCATTTTCTTAATTTTATAAATTTTCCTTTTCGAACTTCTGCTTCTCTGCTTCTTGATCCTGTGCTTCAGCTTTCAGTTCCCTGTATTTTCTCTTTTCGCGCAAGTCGTCAATCGTCTGCATTCTTCCTCTTCCCACTCCTTTTGTTCCTTCTATTTTACCCTCGACGACGTCGTGCAGGAAGCATTTTTTTTGCAAAAGAGGTCCGATCCAGTTTCCTTTTCTTCTCAGAATTGTGCTCAGTAGAGTCAATAATTTTTTTTCAAATCAGCGCGCTTTTGGTTGTCGACGAATGATCGCAAAATCGGCCTTTATACACACACACATACTTTTTCTAATGCTAGTCTCGAATGACTTGGAAGTTAAAATTAAAGGGAATTGTTATAACTTTGTATCTATTAAATTATATAAGTATTCTAGTTGGCCGGCAGACGTTGTTTATCTATAAGGAATATTTCTAGCAAGTTTTCATTATGAAAATAACTAATTTTTATAAGAATGTAGACGTATGCGGTATATAAGTGAAAGGTGTGGCTAATACAAACTAAATTCATGATTTACCCACTGCAACACCACATACTACATATAAATATTTCCGGGACATATTAATACCACAGGCCTATAATTTTTTTTTTGTTTGGTGCATCAAATGTTAGAGCTGATTCTTATAGTTTTTTTTGCGCTGATTGCAAGTCTGGAAACCATTTTTTTGTATCAGCTTTAGTTTGAAACTTGGAAAAAAGTTGCCGAAACCAGGTCCATTCTAGATCGTCTCGGAAAAAAACTTTTCACATGTGTCAACTAAGGCCGAATGGGTCTTGTAAGTTTGTATGTACGAATAGGCATATCTCATTACAATAACATTCTGAATTGTATTACTATTTTGTACTTTCATTCCTTATATATCATATATATCATATCTTGAAAACTAAAGCTCATAGAAAAAATCAATGTCATTTTTGAAATCAGCGCCCCAAATATACTTAAAAACAGCATTAAAATCGTTAGCACCATTTTCTTTGTTGGCCTGTGTAGTCATTGCAAGCGCCAGCCTAATCCGAACCTGATTTAGTTTGATTTTAATTGGCCCATTTTTATATTTAAGGTTTTGAACTATTGTTACTGTGCCTTTTATTAATTCATTAATTTTTGAATTCAGGAACATTCATTCCTTTTATCAAGTATGTTGTGTCATGCTCAGCGAAATTTCCATTTCACTTAAAAACAACTTTATCTACAGATTTACATATAAAATTTCTAATTTTTTTTTACCAAAATTGCTTTTTCTGCAAGTCATTCAAAAACCATGTAATTCTTGTGCACATCGGGAAATATTCATACGATAGGATAATCCTGTTAATCAGGTTTAATCGGTGATAACCATTTCGTCGCCAATATCTAAGAATTGTTTCTAAAATACTACAGCGGATATAGATATATTAAACTTTTTTATCAGGTCAGAAAAATCTTGATGTAAATGAAAATTCAATGAAAAACGTTCACAAAAAACTCAAGCTATATAAAAATGATTGTTCTACTAAAATGACTTATGAAATAAGAGACTTGGTAGGAGAGTAAAAATTTAGAGTTGTAATAAATGTACTTCAAAGTATCAATATTTAACACACTCGTACAGGAATCTAATGAAGTCCAAAAGCTGTTAAAAACATGATTATTCTTTCTGGGACATATTGCGATCGCGGGTCTTTGAGCAAAACCCTAACAAAATAAAAAATATAGTAAAATCTATGAAAATCAATTTTTATCTAATCGAAAATTAGTTAAATCTCCGTGCAAAAGCTTAATAAATGTGATGAAACTAATGCAAAAGATAAGTAATTTTATATTCATTATTCGGGCGCGTACGTTTTACCGAAAAAATCTAGGATTATCCGACCTAAGATAAATTACATATTTTTTACAGATTCTTTAAATAAAATCAGCATAAAAGTTTAATAAAGGTA